TGGTTGACCACTAGCAGCACTTCTTGGACCGAACTTGAAGATAACAATTGAGCCATGATAATTCAATCTACAGTTATTTGCGCATATGATAGTAAACGGCAGAGACCAAATCACACAGCTAGCTTTGGTCCTCGTAAATCGTGAGTAGGAGGATTTTACAGTAAATTTGCCTGTACTACGTGGTAGTTTTATATAACTCGTGTTGACTGACCGATAGATCCTTTCTTATTTGATCATTTGTGGGCCAGGGCAAGGTGGATTGAATACACGAAACAATTTTGGGGAGGGCGGACTTGCTTTCTCGGGAATTGCTGGAGTGCGCAAGTGAACATCCTTCCAAGCTTGGCTGCATTGTTGCCTGTTAGCGTTTTATGATCTCCAAAAAATGCAAATTCAGCCGCAAATATGGGCATCCCTGGTAAGCGGATGCATGTAACAATTTGGTCGAAATCATTATGTCCTTGTCGAATCGAGTAGATAACAGTTTCCGGAAGCAAACCAGTGATGAAGATAGATAGAGGCAGGCATCCGTCGTGTATGTGTTACTTGTACCCATGATGACTGTTAATCTAGATCTCAGGCTTAACCCGTTGGTTGTTGGAGACACTGTGTCCACTCCCAATTCAATTGATGGTCACAGGTTTTGATATTCAAAAATAAAAAGACGAAATACTTCAAATTGTGATGCACTAAACAGAAAGAAAAACTGGTTTGTTACCTAACCAGTTACAATTATCTGTGTTCGATTCACTACATGGATATATGTATAGCCCTTATGTTTTTCGTTCACCAACCTCAACTACTACTTATGATACATGATGGATAAATACGTACACCTGGTACTAAGGGCACTTGGTTTACTTCTCCGGCGCTTGGAATCCCGTGAATTAACCTACCCCATTTCAAAGTTAGCAAACCATCTTGCTGTTCCCACTTAGAAGAGTTGAACCGCACAAGACCTGGAGCTAGATTGTCTGAAAAAAGGACTCAATTACCTGACACGTGTTGTCAGAGTTCCATATGTTTTATGGAGAAGAGCCTTTTGTAATAGATCACTGGAGTTATGATTCATTAGCCCGAAATAACCGACAGTCATTTGTACAGTACCATATTCCGTCACCGGCTAATCATAAAGATATGTCAGATTCAAGATCAGCATCCGAAACCCGCGGCTTGTTGCCAGAATGAAAGAACGCTTATGGTTACGGTACTCCAGACTTTACTTGGGTGGAGCGAATTCCGTGAATTGTGTTGAACATTTCACTGAGTCAAAACCATTGTGTTATTTTGATAAGCGTTTTTGTGGTGCATCAAATACATACGGTCGGCGCATTAGTCATTAACCCTGGATTGCTCCAGCTGCGAGATTATTCCACAATCATTCTCTGCATAGCGTCCGGACGCTGATTATTACTGCCCCTTCTTGAACAGTCACCCTGGTTAGCGTTTCTGACGACGTTATTAACACTAGAACTTCGAGTCCTATTGTTTGAGATCAACCCCCTTACGTGTAATGCCAGTCAGTGGGCTGTTAAATAATTCCTACTCGAACAAAAAACGCTGGGATGGTGACTAACAAGCAGTGCAAGATGACGTGTCATACTGATTAGCTGGAATATCAGATCGTTTTTTACAAATGAGACAAAAATAATGTACACCCTCCATTAACACATTAAACGTAACGTGTGTGGTTTGTATATAAGAATCCTAGTTCCACTAAATTTTGAGAACTAATCCGTTGGAACCGATGGTTTTCTATGTTTACGTAAGAACAGGGATAACTGAAACGAGACTACAATAGCCGAAATGATCACCTAAACTAAGCCCCCTAGGAGTAGCCATTCTTTTATTATTTGGATAATGGACTTAGACGGTGTAAACGCAGATTTTACCTACCAATCCAAGGATGTCATCACACCATTTACTCTGGATGATGTCACTCAAGAAGCAATTCTCAACCTTTAGCGTACCACCATAACCCTTTCTCAGTGGGTCACGACGTTCTCTTTTGAGATCTGGACCCCAATCTCCTGGTGAAATGATTTTTAAATATCTGCTCCATCGTAGACAACTGGAGACTGGTCGCGACTAATAATTTATTCCCATCGTCCTGATTGAACGCTTCCGTAGCATTGCTTTAACGCCTGTTACATATAAAATAATGAATAAATGTCTTTTCACTCCTTTTTTATTTATTCAATATACAACGTACAGTCAGCATTCAGAAAGGGGAGCCGCGGCCATACAAAGGCTGCCTGGGAAGACGGGAAGTGGTGCGGCGGTTAGAATCCGCCACACCCAATTCGAAAGTTGGTGACCTAACCACTTGGCCACTACCGCTAACTCAAATCGACCACATCGCAGTAAGTTACCGTTGGCGTGGCTCAGTGCAAAATTGCAGGTCCTATTGGACTACCTGCGTTGAGTCTGACCACGCATTACTTTTGATGGTCGGCGACAAAACCAGCAAGCTCGAATAGCTCATCAACGAATATCTGTTCCAGCTGTTCATGCCCTCTATGAGTCAGAGCTAGTGCGTAAGCTAAGTGCGCTTCAGCGTGGTGATGTAGACCAGCAGTGGGATCAGATTAGGCGAGCAATGCGTTCCACCGCAAATGTTGCTTGCGGGTCTGAGCCTCAAATCTGTCGGAGGCATTCCATATCTCAGGAGTCAGTAGCCCTGATTGAAATAAAAAGCGGCAAGTCCCGACCTGCCAGGATCAAAATAGAGTTAGGTGGCAGCTACAACGCTGGCTCATGAAGAGCCTCAAGAAGGACCGTGAGAACTGGTGGGCAAAAAAAGTTAGTGAAATGGAAGTGGCAAATACATCCGGGAATAATCAAAGACTGTTCCGTCTGATACGCGATACGAGAGGTCGGCGAACTCCGGTGAGTGAAACATTCTGCGATAAGAGGGGACGAGCCATTCACAGTAGAGATCAACGGCTCGATCGCTGGGGAGAATANCTGGGTAGAATACTTCAGCGAACAGTTCAGCTGGTCTAGTGCTAACCAGGCTGCTTCATCTACAACGGAAGCTCCGTGGGCAGTATCATGCGATCCTCCAACGGAAGCAGATGTTCGGTCTTGCATTCAAGCTCTGAAGCGAGGCAAAGCAGCAGGATCGGAGGAGCTAACTCCCACTCTTTTCAAGATGGGAGGTGATAACCTCGTAACCTCTATTACTACCTTACTGCGTAACATTTGGATGCAAGAGCACATTCCTTCATCTTCGAGCGAATCGCTGATCGTTCCCATTTTTTAAGAAAGGATCCCGCAACGATTGCGAAAACCACCGCGGAATAAGTTCGATTTCGATCGTCACCAAAGTGTTAGCTTCGGTTATACTTCGACGTCTGACGCCTTTAAGGGAGACCAACATCCGTGACCTTTGCTGATTCAATTTCAGCTGTTACCACAGCAACGCTCAGGATATGATTATTGATTCCCGTCACGAAAGATTACTACAACTTAGAGCAGTCCCCACTCCGCAATTTGCTGTCTTGGAAAATTTGAGTACAATAAATTTAAAAGAATTTACAAAATCTCACAAAGGCATCACAGGAGGTACTGCAGCGGTCGGGAAGTGACTTCGGGTAAGAAAAATATTTCCCAGGTGTGCGTTCACGAGGTTATCAGCATCAATGTCTGTGCGCAGCTTGGAAACCTCGTAGATGTCAGTTACCCTATTCGACGTGGAGAACATGCCCGAATTGGAGTCCTTTTTCTTCGAGAAACCTGGCCACACGAGGAAATAGATGACCGGAATGTCAAACTCGATGGACTCACGGTCCACCGCGTCGATCGATCGTCGTCCCGTTTCCTCGACGTAGAGGTGGTATTCTCACATACAATAAGCATGCTTGGCGCAAAAGCTCCATCATTCCGTTACTTCAACCTACCCCTCATATTAACGCATCTACTCTTAAATGCAAGCCCGGATACCTAATAAATTACCGATCACTTATTCGCTCAACCACATACATGTCCCCTATCTGCCTTTCAGATGAATTTGCCAAGTTTTAGAAATTCTTTCTATTGTTTTAATGGAAGATACGAATGTTTCTCTGCATTTTAACCACTTGACACCTGCTATTAAATACATCAAGTTAGAAAAATTTAGCAAACCTCCCTACAAGGATGAATACTACCCTGATATATTTTTCGTCGTTTGAAAGTTAAACTGTTGATTATCTCTAAACTTGTGTACCAGCCTAATTTCTGGTTCATTATATTTAGCAACTGTCACTTCTAATTCATTAAAAAACCTTAGGCAGCATCCAAATGAACTAGAAATTATCAGCCATGTTCATTAATCCCGTTCATAACCAATCTGTAGGAATATGAAGGAGAAAAGTTTCTACACCAGATTTTTCTGGATCCCACTGTCGTTCACGAACGTCGAATGAATACAGCTGTTAAAAGTTTAGATTCTTAAATATTTTACTCCACTGTGTACATTTTCGACTGAACTGTAGGCGCCGCGTGAAAGAGTGGTCCCCAACTGTCTAACAGGCTTCAACTACCACAGCTTGGGCGCTGATGTCAAAATCACGTGTGAGGGAGAAATTGATCGATCATTATTGCTAATATCCCAACTGGTGCAAAAATGCAGATAGTAATCTTAGTTTTATTCAAGGGGAAAGGGATTTGGTAAAAACAAAAGAAAACATAATGATAAATCAATAGGAGAGTATGTGCATAACAATGGAAAAGAACAGAGTGAGAGGGAAAATCGTATAATGAAGTGATGAAATGGAGAAAACGTATGCTACCAGGGCGACAGATGATGATGTAGTGGTAGTAGTTTCTCATTTATACCGATGAATGAAGGAGTACAGCTGTACAAGTAGGTGGAACGAAAGCTGTCAGGCTAACCTCTCTCTCCCTTCTGGACGATGTAAGCAGATGCTACGACCCCGTGCATAGCCAACCTCGAGGGAAACCAGTTGCTCCGCAGCCAGGTTAACTATGAAATGGAGGAGATGCAAGGCGCCGCATCACACAGGGCGCAGAAATACGTTAGCTTTACGCTGAGCATTCCATCCAACCTCGATGTGATAGCAACTTTGATCGTTAAACTGAGAGACCAGCTGTAAAGCAATGCCATGGGGAAAGAGTTATTCAGTAAAAGTTATCAACAACAGACTTCATGGAAACAGACTGACTCGTAAAGGTATCGCCAAACTACGACCGGAGCATAAATATTATTACAGAGGCTTCGACATTGCAAGTCAAGCAAAGCAAGAGGTTGAATAAGAGTATAACAGAGGATTTCATTCAATTTCATAGGAGGATTTCGTCATGCACGCTACTCACTCGGCCACCGGGCAGCAGACCCAACCAGGTTGTGAAAGTTTCCAACGGAGTCATAACCCCAGAGGCTGGTATTGAGATGAGTGAGGCGCGAAATTCGTAACAAGCTTGCAGAGTTGGGTTGTGCTATATCGTGTAAATGGAAAATGGAAAGCGGTGGCCGAGTGGGTGGCAGGTTTCTGTTCTGCCTATGAGAGCCTCTGTTCGAACACCAGTTAGGTCAATGGATTCGCACTGCTGATGCGACCCAAGCAGGTCGAAACAGCTGCACACTACTTCCTATCTTTTCAGGTCTCGCTGCATTTGCTCTATAAACAACAAATTCTCCTGATGAAAGTAAGATGTAAAACAAGTGGTAGCTGTAGCACTAGAGAAAACAGCGTAGGAAGCAGATTCAGATGCTATGCGTTGTGAAATCATCCCGCATCAGTCCTAAAGTTGAGTTTAATAAGGTCATTCGCTTTTGGTAGATGAAAACAAAGTAGAATACTAGGAAGTGGGGACAATAGAAATTCGGCGGTGCTTGAAAATTTATTGGTACGAGAATAGCAACAAAACAAAATGAGACATGAAAGAACCAAGTAGATGCAAGTACATCAATAACGACAATTTATAGCGATTTCGAATAACGGCCTTAAATACTGAGAGTGGATCCCGTTGACCTGAAACTAGAGAACGCTGATGAAACTCGTGTGCATTCACGATCGACCAACTTGGTCCATTTTTCAATCAATATTTTCTTCTGAAAGCAATGGAAATCTATGAATAGCAAAACCGTCTGCTTTTCGTTGAAAACAGAGGTCCTTCTTGAGAGATTTACCAGCGTTAAGAATTCGCTGTGATGATTCAATTAGTTCAAGAAAATTAAGTTTCACTACTCGCAAATCCTGTTCTTCGTACAAAGAAATGAGGTTTCATCTAAATTCTTTATTTGGTTAATCTTCATAATTGTCTGTCGACACTAAACCGTACTAAACCGTAAATGACACTGACGACAATCTAGTGTATCAATCTGAGAAACACTGCAACAAGTTTCACAGTGTTACCCCATCAGTTACAGTGTGGACTCGTTCGAACACTCATCTGTCGGACAACACGAATACGTGCAACCAAAAGTATTCGTTTAGATTTACAATACATCAGAAACCAACGATTATGATTTTGTTTTCACCACAGGATGTGTCGTATATGGACTTCTAGATCGGGTTAGAGGTAAAGCTATACGGCTCATCGAGGACGCGAATTAAACGCGTAGCTTATGAGTATATTACATTTGACATTTATCAAACAAGTGTCTAATCCTCGTACAAAACTTCAAAATAAAGAAATTACTCTGTTTGCTCCTGTAAAAAATACTGCCAGGTTGCCTAGAGAAAAGCAGGCAAATCTGCTGGGAGGAGTCAAAACCGGAGCTCTGGGTAATCAACACCAGTAGCAGTATAACTGGCAGCCACTAACACACCACCAAACAATCAATTGCTTATTCCGATTCTACTTCTATTACTTTGTCTTTCTTCCAATTGAACTTATTTTGTCTATCCCATTACAAAACCATTTTGCGGTTCGTACATCTACACAATCAGCCAGTGACTCATACCCAGTGGATTTTTAAAGGTGTCGCACTTCTATCACCTTAATTTTTAAGGACCACAAAACCGTGAGAAATCAGTCCCCAATTCATCTTTCCTTGAAACAATCAATCAACCAATGGTTCCTCGCTTGAAGTTCCCTCTTACAATTCTATGTACAATGCGTTTAGCCGTTTGGTTATGCATCCATGTATTCACTAAAAAGCAGACAAATATAACACCAGTACTACTACTCACCTCATCTGTCAACAACACGGGAATGCTGTGCCCAGTGAACACACACAATGTACTAATCTGATCCAACCGAAGCGAGAGAACTGAGGCAAGCTGACGCAGAATTTCGGCCCGAGTGAGCTCGTAAAGCATTAGAGCTTGATAGACTGCAAAAGACATACGGGTCATGTGTGAGAACCGTTGGCACAGTAAGATTCATTTACAATAAAATATGTAAGAATACCTCACGGTACCTAGAACAGAAATATAACCGCTCATCAATATTAAATTATAATGAAACTCAAAAATACGGTTAAAAGTTTGAAAACTATCAAGTCTCATTTAAACCGGCGCGCTATTCATTTAATTTTCGAATCTGTTGCGAACTTCAAGCATGAACAACAATAAACGATTAGGTAGCTATACGATGATATTACGTCAAAGCATAGTTGGTCTCTACGCGGGAGTTCAGCAAACTGACCGTAAAACATTCCTAACACTGAATTCTACAAGGAGAAATATTTCCCAGCTTTTTATTCCAAGATAATTCCCGTTCATTGGCTCTAACTAGGAATCCGGGAGGCATCGCGCGAAAATAGCTCCTTCATCCCATTAGACCAAGTCAGAATATTACCATCAGCTTCGTTCCCAGCCTTTCACGAAATGCACAAAAAGAACATCCAAGGGTTGTCCATGAAAGTGATATGCTCCGTCAGAGAGTGACTATCAGCAGCCAACACACGGCAATGAAATTTGTGATTGCTCACCCAATGTCTACACCAAACCCAAGCAACAATCCGAAGATCTCGGCACTCCAATTCAAGAAGCCATCGAGCATTCTCAACTGTGAAGCAAAACACTGTTAAGTGTAGAGATATACCTCTCTATCATAGGAGGCATTCAGACATCTTTCAAAGCATCAACATAAGGTTTGTAAAATCTTTCTCTAGTGAGTACAACTACTAAGAATAGGCACGGGTTCTTCATCTGAAACGGAAATTACTCAGAATGTTTCCTCGATGGGCATGAAATCCCTGAAGCCGATGGGTTGTCCTTATTCACCTCCGAGGATAGGGGCAAGTTAACCGTTATTCCTGGAGCTGACATCACTTCCGGTTCAGCAGTCTTTCAGTTTCAGTTTCTACAACCATCACTAATGCACTATCGTGCGCCGGTTTCGGTTGCTATCTTTTAGCTGCCCATTTGGATGAATATGGGGAGAAAGATAGGAAAGGTTGAAAGTAGGATGGAAGAGAAAACTTAGGATTTCATTGCACTAATTTTGCAGAGAAATAGACAAGATGCACAAACGCCACTGTTTACGACACCCAGCTATATCACTCATTGTCTCTAATCATCTGGTATGATCATCCCATCGCTCGCCATGGCAACCCATTTGGTGACATGCGTAACACATGTTCCAACCAGCGTAATCTATGGAGGTCGAATACCACCAGTGCTGTGTAGACAGCGGTGTTCAAACACCGACAGTCTATCTTTGTCTTCTTTTCTTAATGGCCAAGTTTCTGCTCCATAAAGTAGAACTGGCCGAACTGCAGCATATACTCGACCCTTCATAGTCAGCCGGATGTCGCGACGGCGCCACAGACGTCTCAAGTTGGCAAATACCAACTGAGTCCTCTGTATGCGAGCTGACACTTCATCAGTGACGTCCACCGGGTGAGATGTAGCTGCCCAAGTATCCACTTGCTCTATTACTTCCCCAGTTAGAATGAGGCTCGGTGCTGGATCGACCCAGGCTTGTAGTAACATTCTACACTTTGAAGGTGCAAAACGCATACCGAACATGGCAACACTAGCACTCAAACTATCCAGAAAAGCTTGCCACTTACCTGGATCTTCACTTAGTAAAACAACGCTGTCTGCATACTCTAGGTTAGACAGCCTACCACCTGGGAGTAGATCGATACCGCTATCCCTGAACGAGGACAGGGCTGTTTCAAGAATTAAACCTAAAATAAAGATAAGTAGAAAAGCAGAGACAGAGAGCAACCCTAAACAACACCAATTTCCGTGATGAACTCGGGTGAAAAAGTGCCGTAAACCCGGACTCGGCTTCGGTTATGAGTATTGAGGGATTGTAATATTAAAATAAACTGCTCGGGCACACATTTCAGGGAAAAGCAGTGCCAGAGTATAGAGCGGTCGACTGAGTCGAAAGCCGCTTTAAGATCCAGGCAAAATAGAGGTGGGTCTACGAAAAGAATATCGATGCTCCAGAGTTTGGCGAAGAGAATGAACGGTGCACGTATCAGAATTCAGTGTTTTACACAAGGTCAAGGTAGCAACAATCATATTTTCATTTTTTTGGTAAAACCTGGAGCAGTTGTTTCTTCCGTAGGTTATGAAAATTAAGCATTACATGAATATGGAAGAAAAAACCATATGGATATGTAGCATCAAATCCCACCAGTACCTCATCATTAAAGTTCGAATGCGATCAATAGCAAATCAAACCTAGTTGAATGGAAACCGCTATTACTGAATACAAAGCTAACTATTTTGTTGGGTTTCATCCACAATGATTCCCTAACTGAGCACTGAACCCTGGTATCCAGAACCTTCAACTCCTCGGTAGTGTACTAAGTAACAGTAAAAAATAGCAATAACACCGCATTATTTACCCAACAAAGTGAAATTTCGTGCGTTGACCTTCATATTACTAGTGAAAAAATTACGATTATCTGGTTTTGATCTCACGATCGATTTGTTTCAATTCAGGCTGGTGAAACTGCGGGCTTCAATTCCTTGTGATGTTATAGGAGTCCCGGAATGTTAGTAAGATCCTCAAACTCATATTCTAAGGCTAAATCACCCCATCTCGTCTTTTCGAACGCAATTGTGCCCCCCCCTGGGATTGAAATATCATCGAAATGAAATAACATACAGCGAGTGACGAAACTGAATCCAGTTATATTTTATCACACGGTCAGTTGGAGACCTGGAAGGTGTTCGTTTAATGTAAACCAAACACGTAATCAACAACGCATTGGCTTAGCAACTAATGAAAAAAATAATAAACAGATGTATAGAAGCCAAGTGGTCACAAAATTTGGCTATCAAACGGCGCAACCGCCCAGTTGAATCAATTGTGTAATGTAATTTCAATCATGAAGCTTAAATTGCCGGGATGCTAAAAGCGATCAGATGGACACGGATAAAATAGGTGGGGGATCCAGCACTTCTCAGACTGGTGAACCCAACGATTAATAAAACGTGATACCATAGATTACGTGAACGTTGTTGTCGTGACTTTACCTACCTGTTTTTTCCTTCCGACTGACATATAGGGTACAGCGCGGTCTGGTTGGTCTGAAATAGATAGCAAATAAAGAATGAACTCTGCGTGGCTGGAAATTGATCAAAGGAAATATCCGAGCATTATGATCTAAATGGAATTTGAAGAAATGCGAACAGTAGAAGGGACGGACCCCATAGTCATGAAGACATGCTGTTCAGTGATGGTAACCGGTAACCCAAACCCCGAGACTTGAAGTGGCGAATCACATAAGGCCCCGATAGGTTAGGCGTGGTATAGAACCGGGCGACAGTAAAGCTGTCTACCACCAAAGTTGAGTGGCGGTGGAAGGGGCTAAAACCTCGGACCACAGGGTCCAAAGCACGCCCGTGACAGTGACTAAACCACTACGCTTAGATGACCGAGAGGCAAGACAACCCGCAACATTGATATAAACAAACGATCGTCCAATCATACTTGTAGCTATCTTCTCCTTTTCTTATATAACATTTGCACCATGACTGTTTCTGGACGGTGAATAAACTTGAAAAAAAATTAATGTACGCTTCTGCCAAGTTTTTTATAACATTGTCAATTACAATAGAAGGGGAAGTCGCCATGGACAAATAGCGCCCTGTAAAAAGGAGAGAAGAGGAACATTCACGTAAGATCCAGTTTACCGATTCTGTGTTCAAAGAGTGTATGATTGTAAGTTGNAGTACGACATCTGGGAATGGAAATTTGATGAGGATGAATAGGTGCCTGCATACGGGGTAAGCGCGTAAAAGTTGCAGGAAGAGGAAATGCCCAAGCACGCTCTGAAGAACAAAACCAGAGCAGTGACGTTAGAGCAAGGACAATGAAGTAACTGCCCGACGATGTGCTACTGAATGCAGACTAAATCTTAGGGAAGGATAATCG